ACATCATGTGGCCTAGGGTTTTAAAACAGATTTAAGCGGAAAACGCTTGTGGGAATGGGCTATTAACAAGAATTTATCTTGTTTAAATTCGCAATCTGCTACTTTTGTCCGAGGTCTCTCTAAATCTGTAATTGACTTGACATTTTCAAGCTCATCTCTAAATATTTGTTCGTGGCAAACTTTAGACTGTGCTACTAACAGTGACCATTTGCCTATTAGTTTTGTACTGAACTTTCCAAGAATACACGTCGCCGAAAAGGCCCGCTCTTTCCTCAACTATAGAAAATTAGAAAACGACTTGAGGGCTACTTTTGATCACCGCAAGGACATACAAGGTGACATTAGGGCTATGAGTCTGTGTGCAGTGTTAAAAAGATCAATAAAAGACGCAACGTTTAAATTAGACCCGGCCACAAGAGGTTCTTTTAGTCCATGGTGGACTGAATAGTACATGAGGAGCTATAGAAAACGGAAAGCTGCATGGAAACAACTACTGGTCAACCAATGTCCAAAAAATTGGTGTGATTATAAATTCGCAGCAGCAGACTTCAAACGCACAGTAAGTAATGCAAAATATGGTTATAATATGAAACGACATGAGTATCTTTCTAGGGCTAAAAACAAAAAGCGCTCTTCAGATTTTTAAGATCTCAAAAGATGTTACCACCCGCTGAAAACATTGCCTCTTCTGTTCTTTCCCCCCGTGAGCTCTCTGATTTAGTAGAAAATATTGCGAAAGGGCTCCAAGATAGATTTATGTCAACTATTCCACTGCACATTGTGAACCCAATGGCAGGCGAGGATTTCGAGGAGGTTACTTTAGATGAGCTGGCAGAGATAATAAGGCACTTATCTCCTTCGGCACCTGGACCAGACGGGGTAACAAATGCAATGATGAAAGTAATATTCGAGATTTGTCCAACTGAAGTACTTAATCTGGTGAATTTTTCTTTGACAAAAGCTTGGATACCTGCGGAATGGAAACTGTCTAAAGTGATTCCACTTCTTAAAAAGCAGGAAAAAGGATTCGCCTTGGACAATGTAAGGCCGATATCACTCACGTCAAATCTGGTTAAGCTAATTGAAAGAGTTTTGAATGCCCGGGTAATAAAATATATTAATAATAACGCAATATTAAACCCCAGTCAAATTGGTTTTAAATCTGGTTGCTCAATATGGTGTGCGAATGTTGATTTAGAGAGCCGAATACAACTGGCTCGGCGTCACCGCCAATACTGTGCTTTAGTTACTCTATATTTGGCTAAAGCGTACGATAGGGTTGAGCATTCAATTTTATTAAACAGATGGAATATCACCACTTTCCCAACTACATCACTGCGTGGGTGTCGGAGTTTTTAAGAGGGAGAGAATATTACTGCTTTAAAGATGGGTACTCATCGAATAGATATAAGCAGACACGTGGCGTTCCACAGGGGGCTGTCCTGTCGCCACTTTTATTTAACATTTTCTTAACCTCCATTCCATCAACTAAGGATATTCAGTTATATGTGTACGCGGACGATATTGCTTTCTTTGCAAGTAATACCGACCTTCAATCATTATACCAGAGTCTACAAAATTATCTCAATATGATAGAAAAATGGCTTAAAAATATTCATATGACTCTGAACGTAAAGAAATGTGTGCTTCTTGCATTCTCTTTTCTGCCGCCTATCAACATCTCGTTAATGTACAGTAATGAGCTCATTCCGCAGGCGAATTCTCTTAAATATTTGGGCATCATATATAATGACACATTAAATTGGAGAAGTCACATTGATGATGTGTACTCCAAGGCAACACGGGCCATGGGGTGGCTACGGAAGCTTGCAAACCGTAAAGCGGGTTTAAGAAGAGATGTGCTAATAATGATATATAAACTTTATGTGCGGCCCATCATGGAATTTGGATGTGTATTATTTTCTGGCAGCGCAATTTATAAAATGAGACCCCTAATACTGCTGGAAAGAGAAGCGCTGCGTTTGTGTCTGGGTCTACCAAAGTTTGTTGCAAATAACGTGTTGTATACGGAAGCTCGCCTACCTTCTCTGCTAAATAGGTTTAAAATTCTTACTGTGCAAGCATTCTTAAAGATATACAGTTCACAACAAAGACTCTCATTTTACGCTTTCATTCAAGAACCGACTTTAATTTTCGAAACCCATTGGTCACGACTACACACCCCGCAAATAGTATTTGCACAAGCGCTACTAAAGCAACTGAATGTAAAAATTAGACATATTGGTCCAATACACAACCTAAAGTCAATTCTTAGCATACAATTCGATGATATATTTCCTCATAACGCGAAACAATTGGCATATAGGTATTTAAATGACCAGTTAGCAGATTATCTAGCTCACCTAGAGATAAGCAATATCATAGCGACTGATGCATCTGTGTCAAAAGAAAAGGCTGGGGTTGGCATCTTCTTTCCTTCTTTGGACTGGTCCTTTTCGATTCGATTCCCAGATTATACCCCGGTATTCATTGCAGAATTATTGGCCATTGTTCTTGCCCTACGCAAATTGCCCTCAAGCGAATCATTAGCAGCCCATTACAGATTCGTTATCAGTTTGTAATGCACTTTCTGCGGCAGTAAATTCAGAGCTGATGAATACGTTTCGGCATTTAGTACCGAAAAACGTAAAAAAAACTGCATTTGCTATGGGTACCAGGCCACCGCAGATTATATTTGAACGAAATGGCGGACTATTTAGCAGCAGTATCCCTGGGTGGGCCCACCATCCCAGTTTTGCCAGATACGGCTTACGTAACCGCACTAAGGTTCCGAAATGCTTGCCTGCAATGGGGAAAAGGTAATTTAGATAAATTCAAAGATTTCGAGCATTTGAGCTATTGCTGGAATAAACAGTGGTGTGTATCTCGCCAGTTAGAGGTCACCTATACCAGATTGCGCTGTGCAGTTCCACAACTAAATTATTACCTTAACAAAGCTCGGCTCAAGGCGTCACCGCTATGCATTTGGTGCAACGAAATTGAAACAATCGAACATTTCTTTTTATTCTGTCATCGTTATTCTTATCAGAGAAAAAGATTTTTAGTAGCCCCATTACAAAATCTAGGAATACAAGTAAATCTACCAGTAATTTTATCAATTGGCGGAACTTCATTTGGTTACTGCCACAGAGATGTATGCTCCGCTGTGTTTGATTACATCAACGCAACTAAAAGATTACCATGCTAGTGATCCCCTACCTTTTCAGATCTTTAGTTTATAATTCGTAGTTATGTCTTTCGAAAACAAAAGATGGTTTGACCGCTTGCTCAGCAAACATTTTTGTTTTTTGGTAGTATTATTTTAAGCTACTTTTTCAGATTGGCTTCATTTTCATTTTAGTTTCATTTAAGTATCCTGCCGCCCGGTTCTTGGCCCATCCCCCTTTGTGGGTAAGCGCCATTCATCAGAGGTCATCAGCATCAGCATCAGTCGCAGCGACTGTACCTCGTTGGACGAAAAACGTTCGGAACCCGCACTCTTAGACTTAGGGGCACGTTAAAGGAACCCACAAAGTGTTTTTGACGTGATCAGAAAACATGGGCGATCGGCACTTGACGCTCCTTAGGAACACGTGAGTCAAACGCTGTAGCGCAAAAAAAAAGCCTTCTCTAATTTACAAATATTTCTCAAAGTCAGCTAGCTAGAAATCACTCCTTCTCTCAACAAATAATGCCTCAAGCTCAAATAGCGGTGCCATACACCCGTAGTTTGTGGCCTTTGGCTATTTTGAGCATCGTTATGAAAAAAAGAAAAGAAAGTGCTTAGTGACATGACGCGTGACGGACAAAAGTACCATCTTGGCCCCTTTTCATTACCCTCTGCGCGGCTTTCAGCATGCTCACTTGTATGAAAGGACGGGGAGAGCTCTCAAAGCGTGGGGCATGTTTCTGTAACTGTCCCCATATATACTTGGCCAATTACAAAAATTATGGGGCAGTCGATTCGTGAGGTAATAGAATTCTTTGATAATTACATAAAGAAGTGTTGCAGAGTTCTTTTAAAAAATCTTAGGGGTGGAATTCCTCGGGGCGCTCCACTACGTTCTCCCTCAAATTCACATCGTGGTTTAATTTAAAGAACAATTATTTTTATAGGAACATGGTTACATGCGTGTCGCTAAACAAACCAGAGGTGAAGTGTATGGAAAGTGTTGCATACCTTTGAACTGTTTAACTACAGCACCGTTTTTTACTATGCTATTTGGGGATATGTATATGTCAAAAAAAGGAAACAAACAAATCTGCATTGTTGCTGCCTCTTTCATATAGCCATTTCATTAAATGTAACAGTGAAGAAGAGGTGGAAAGCACCGTAAAACTTATAAATCGGCAGCAATGCTTGCTGGTATATAATATTGTACCATAAGTTCTGTTTGTCTTTGGCCAACAACCTATGCAATAAAGTTGTCTTGACGTCTTCAATATGCACCACTATCTCTGCGTTTTCTGCTTTGTGTGTTTGTGCGAGTGTGCTAAGATCTCACTCGGAGTAAAATGTTGCAAATGTAATATAACTTCATAAATTGAATAAATGACTTGAATGCCTGTTTCGGACTTCAATTGCCGGAAGCTGTAGAAATTTTAAAGAAATAATAACATTGTATGGTATATGTTAATATAATCTAAAGAATATTTCAACAACATTTACTCTAATGCGACGGGTCGTTTTCCATTTGCACGACCCTGCAGGCTTCCTTACGAGGCATGAAAGACAATTACGTAATAAACCGACTTCCTGCTGCATGGCATGGCACGACACTACTGTTTTGCAATATGCGAAAGCAAGGAGGACACTGCGAAACAACAAAGCGTGCTGCAATGCCGGGTACCGTGCACGCAAAAGCTTGACAGGTGTCGCTGACGGCACTATAAAACGCACAATATAAAACCACGAGGAGGCATTCGCATTCACATAAGCTTCCCTCGCAGGATACGAGCTTGACTGTCCACTCTCGTCTGCCAGCTTCAGAACATTCGAAATGTCACCGGTGGTGAGCACCTATAATGGTGTCTTTGCAATGCACCCAGCATTTGTTGACAGAAGCATCTATTACGTTTTTGGAGATCAGTAATGTCGAAAGTTGGGTTAGTTGGTGATGGTTCATGATTACTTATGAAACAGCGCACGACGACAAGCAAAAAATGATAAAGTTCCTTTTGAGCTTGTCGTTGTGCGCTGCTTTCAAAGTAATCATGTTCTTCGAGAAATGGCGAATGTTCATTGTGAAGTTGAAGCACAACATTTTGGGGGGCTTTAGAATGCCCCACGATGGCAATACCGAGAACAACGGTATATGTTGCTAGGAAATGTGCTTAAATGAAAGCTTCAATATTGTACAGCGTAATCTAGCATGTGTGAGATGTCTGCGCTATAAACGTCGTCATGCACGTTTATCCTTTGCAGAAGTACAAAGCACATATTACAAACTCTGAGTGATTTTATCGCGGGCAATGCCCTTCATTAGTTCTGCATTGGGGTGACAACTATAAGAATTATATCTGAGATTTCATGATTACCATTTTGATATGTTTTGCTTTGTATTACAAAATGTAGTGAGCTCCATGGGAAGGTTTCATCTTTACATTTTGTACAGCATCAACATACTACTCGGTTTGGAGTAAACAGAATGCCGACGTTTTCTCAAACCACAGGTGCAAGTGCTGCTCGTCTATCTCGTGGTTCAATGCCACGCGCTCAATCACCACCCCACAAACCAAGTTGGATACCCGGGTGCAGTATTCGCTGCTTACAGAGCTCCTGCTGCTACCGCTGTGCCTTACGGAAGATACAATCCCTACGAATCTGTGAGCTGACGTGTTTTTCTATGCTGCTAGCAGTCCGTATAAGAATATCAGTGATAAGGCACACAAGGCGCATGTACTGCAAAAGTGCCGTCAACAGGCTTCATAAATCAATGCGCTATTGAAACTTTGTGGCTTTTATATTGACGATACACAAACTCGAACAATACTAGTGCACTTCAGCAGCACTATCGCTTCTGTAGATTGACGTCAGTGCCGAAGTTTCCCATAAAGATTCTGAAGTACCTGCTATTTCACCTAGTTCATGTTCCTGCTTCTCCTTTCTCTCATATCTTTCTTTCTTATTACCTACAATAATGGTGGGACAGGTGTAATGAATAACGAAAGTCTTATGGCATGCTCTTATCTGCCGTGTTGACATCTGTCAAATGCAGTTGACTATTGATTGACATGTTCTTAATGACTGAACTTTTTTTTGATGGAATTACTTTTGTTCATTCTACGGCAAGCACACAAACCAAGAAAATAACGTCTTGATAGTTATATAAGCCCAGCTCCAGTTTTCAGCAGAAAACATCCTGCAGTATTCTTTTTGTGGACTCTCAACGGCATCTGTTGCACAATTACTCTTGTTGGGCCTAAATTGCTTTGAATTTTTTTATCTCTTGCAGCCTCCTCAGCCGTACAGTTTCGGCTATGACAATGTGGACGAGTTCGGTAACCGGCAGTTTCACAGCGAGCAGGCTGACTCCAACAACGCCAAAACCGGCTCGTACGGCTATCGAAATGTCAATGGTCTGTATCGGAGGGTGAACTACGTGGCGGACGCGTACGGCTTCCGCGCCACCGTGGACACGAACGAGCCTGGGACGGCCCCTGGAGCAAGCGCCGACGCGGTCTTTAATGCTGCACCAGTGGTGCCACCGTTTACCTCAAGAAATGTGCAGGGTGGCGCAGCTGCAGCTTTCGCTACCAGAGTGGCGGCACCCTACAATGCTGGGAGTTACAGTGGCTATGGAAGATACAGATATAACCCCTATGCTAGCGCTACCGGAGCGTATGGATTCCCCCCATACGGGCGTCAAGAGTACTCTGCAGGGGCACCACCATTTATTGCACTTTAATACGTTGACCAGACATCATTCGGCTACGGCGCGGCTGGTTAAAATGCAGGCTACGCTCCTGGCAGCCCTTATGGAGCCCGTATTGAATACGGAAGCTGTATTTCGGCTTACGACGGAATTCGTCGTTGTTAAGGAATCTTTCGGTTTTGTTATCGGCTTAACAGAGAACAGTCTTATAAATCTTAGTTACACTTGTGGCAATGTACAGCAATAAAATAAAGTAATCTTTAACATACTAGTAGGAAAAGTGCTGTGGTTTATGTTCATTTTATATCGTATATGTGGGAATGTGCACCACTAGGCATTGACTAGTGTATATAGCAGGGCAACTTGACATGTATACATGTTAGCAAGCATCGTGATAAACAAGATGGTCACACAGGAAAAAAAAGAAATATCAACAACACTTGTTCTTGTATTTTGTTCCTGTGTTAATGTGTCCATCTTGTTTTTCGCCCTGCTTGCTACCTCGTAAACATTCTTTTGCTCAAGAAGCAGCCTTGAAGGCCGACCATCGTCCTTCAGCTTTGAATAACGCGTGCTGACTTGAAGGTTAGGACTCATCGGTTCTTCAAAGCAACGTAAGTCACATATGTGAAAATTTAGGAGGTACAGCTACTATCAATGACGCCCGTGCGTGCATACGGCGAATTTGCAGCGGAGATGTTTTATGAAGTAGCTCCGGCAGCAAAAGTTTATTTCATTCGTGATTATTAGGATAGAGTTCAGGTCTTCATGCCCATTCTAGAATAGCTATGCTCATTTTAGAGAGAAAATATATCTCAACCATAATATCATCACACGAAGCAGGCAAAAGGTGTTCTATGATGGGGGAAAATGTAAATCGCTTCAATGTTAGTTGAAGGTCGCAGAATGTAGAACTAGCTGTTAGTAGTCAACTCACCAACAATATCACAAGTTAGGCATTTCACCCGAATGATTGTTCATATACACACAAGAAAACCATTATGCAAAATCAAAGCAAAAAAATAGGAATATTATTTGTGGATTCGCGGTTAAGTAGCGAAGGAGGTTCAATAAATGGCAGAGACCTTGTGCTTACCTAAGCACCTAATGAAAAAGAAAGTCGTAGGCCAATGGCAACTTCTTGACAGTAGGGGTTTCGAGGAGATCGGTCAGGCGCTGCGCGAGGACGAACTGCGGCTGAAAGCAACTGTTGAAGATTGAAATAAACGCAAGAAAGGTTTAAAGTATACAATGTCAATTAGAGCGTCAAGATATGGATATATAGCGGAAAAAGAAAACAAGAAAAAAACCATAGACATATTGGCACACTGAAAGTAATCAAGCGATTGCTACACATTTAGTGGCAAGTTTATCAATTTAGACTGGATAAGGTGCGCACACAGACGCGCACACTAGAAGAAGGGGAAAAAATCACAGCATATCCACGGAGTGAATGATTATGAGTTGGGCGAAGCGTCAGACAGCCTGTTTTTGCTTATGTTCATCCACGTGACCATCCGTGCGTCCATCCATGTGTCCTTCCATCTGTCCTGCGTCCATCTGTACGTACGTCCGCGTATCCGTATGTTTATTCGTCCGTTCGTGCATTCATCTAGTAAACACTTCCCAAGTACCACCATCTCGCATCTCAGATCCCCTGTGGCACCTGCCCGCTCTAGAGCGGGTAGGTGCGAGTGGTGGCTATGCACAACATCGGAAGATGGACAGAGCCATGCCTTAGGGAGCTTTGCTTTAAAACGCAAGCACCATGAGTGAAACAGATTATTGGAAAGAGAACAATGTTCTACATCTGTGTCATTTCTGTCGCATGACCTGGCTATAGTGAAACAGCAAAAAAATATTACCAGGCCTACACAGAACACGCAGCACAGTCACAGCGAAAGCTCGATCAACCTTCTTTGCAGAGCCTATTGTGGGGTAATTTTGGAGCAAACAATGCATGTGCACATGCAAGGTATACCTAACGCCATACACCATCCTAAACACCATGAAGATGGCATTTGGTTGAATGACAAGTGGGGTTTAACGTGCCAAAAGCATCATACGAGTATGAGAGACGCCGTAGTGGAGACACCAGAAATTTCGACAACCTGGCGCTCCTTAGCATGCACCAAAATCTGAGCACACGGGCCTACAGCACTTTCGCTTCCACCGTAAATGCAGCTGCCGCAGTAAGGATTCGATCCCGTGACCTGTCGGTCAGCAGCCGAGTACCTTAGCCACTAGACCACCGCGGTGGGGCTCATGAAGCAGGGAAAGAAGGCCCGCTATGCCGTTATTTATTGTTCTGTGGATAAGCGATGTACTTGCTACACACTTAGGCGTGACGACTGGTTGTTATTTTCTTCGATGACATATCGCACATGCTCACACGGTTGCCTGCCAGACTTGGCAACTGTATCGAGTGTTTTGCGAATGAGTTACAAGCACAACCATCATTATGTGGTTCAATACCCGACTGCCATGCAAAGAGCTCAGCCTCAAATCCCATTCATTCCCAGAAAATTTTTCTAACTATTTTTTTTATTTCGCACGGTAGTGGTGGCAGAAAAACATCGTTTGTGGGAGCGCATAACTACGGCGCCAATATCGGCTCTTGCTGTTATCTCTCACAACAACTTGCACTGTAATACATAAGACCCCAAACACCATCACTGTCACCATGGCCGAGAGCACAGAGTGGCTGCTTACGAACCACAGGGTAGGCGGTTGGTTCGATGAATGAAAAACTTTTTGGGGTCCTGAAGCATTCCACCCTAGTTTTAAAGAGGTAGGATTGCGGGCCGCTCCCCCGTAGGGACTAGGAGGTATAGCCTGACCACCGCATCGTGAGCCTTCTGGACAGCCTTGAGTTGTTGTATGAGGACCGGGCTCTTGAGCATGAAATGGAAGGCATTTTCCAAAAATTGTTTATACTTTCTTTGTAAAGAGGGGCACCTCCAGAGAATGTGGCCAAAGTCACTGCGATCGTGACAGTCCGGACAATGTTCTGAAATGTCGGAGTATAAGCTATACGTTGCGAGGTTGGGGTATGTTCCCATCTGAAGCATACGAAGATAGATTGCCTGTGGCTTAGACAATTTTTCGTGTGGCAGTGGAAAGGACCTATGGCCTAATTGATAGTGCTTTGTGATCTCATTGAAGATAGTCTAAATGTCCATAAAATGGAGGCTGGGGGCTGATTTCTCTGTGAAAACCGTGCAAGCCCCGGCGTTGTAACTGAAGCCTCGAGCCTTGAAGGGGGCTAGATGGTTGACATTGGAAAAGCCCTGTAGCTTCGAGTAAGCGAGGTAAGCAGGGAACCAAATAATAGTGTGGTGGGTAAGTTTCTTGTGGGCGAGTGTTCTAAAAGCTTCCTTACACTCGAAAGTAGAAGCGAAGACTTACAACAATCCGTATAAATATCAGTTCTCTGTGAATCAAGGAGAGCTAGTGCAAAGGTCATCTGCTATATAATTTGTGGGACAGCCAAAATTAACAGCCATCACTGATGGCACATGTCACCCAGGTCGATGTCTTCACCTTATCTTGAGAAGTGAGGTTAAAGGTATGGAAGCTTTTCCACTCTGTGAATTTATAATGCTTGATGTAAGATGCTTGTTGCTTGGTGTGCTTGGTGCTTGGTGTCAGTAAGAGTGGCTGACTTTTTTTTAGTATATCTCTTTCTGGTTATATGTTTTTGTTTTGCGTGATAGCGGTTACGTAAACCACTAGGGGTGGACAGCTACCCACTGCCATAGTGATGTGTTAACACCTTTCGCTGTAAAAAGAAGAAAAAAAAACACATGGTGCAAAAAAATGTCTCTCAAGATCAGCCTTGCTTCTTTTTCTGCTGTTTCACAAGCCAGATCATGTGCCAGAAGTGATATATAAGCACATGCTTGTTTCTCTACTAACTGTAGTTTTGAGTTGGTGCCCATTATGTCCTTTTTTCTAGTGTCCGTGTCAGTGTGCTTTCCTAATTCAGTCCTAATGTGAATCGATACCAAATATCTCAATTATTCATGCTACTTCAAGTCCATCAAGTTCAACTGTTGGGTGAGTGGATGACTTGAAATAATATGTTTGTAAATCAATGCCCAAAGCGGGAAGATTACTGCAACATACAAGTAACTACGAGCGTCGCTTTCATTTGCTTTCACCCGCCTTGTCCTCTTGTACGCATTGCTTCACATGCGCATTGTGGCGCTAATATAGGAAGCCTGGAACAATACGGTTAAGCTTCGTGATTTTTGATTGCTTTTTGTCCATTTCTCACTGCAACTGACTGACTGGGCTACTACAGCTCACCAGTTTGAAATGAGGTGGTTCAACAACTATTACTGTTTTAGTTGGGCTGGTATGTCTTGTCCTCAAACTGAACGAAAGTGCACTGAAAAATATAGGTTAAGCAGCAACACAGAAAAAGCATGCTTTATTTAGAATTTCCATGGTAAACAAGCTACAACGTGTGTTCAGTAAAATGCTGAGGCAAAAGTTCGTAGGAACAGACAGTTTAAAGGTAAATTTTTTGAATCTTGATTTTTGAAACACAGGACGGCTTCTTTTCTAAATTTCGAGGCATAAAAAATGACAAAAACGTCCCGAAATAATTGCGACAGGTGGGATCATGAATAATCGTATGGCAAATATAATGACATTGTTGAAGGATATGACCTCTGAGCCCCTGCGACGATGTGTAGCATATAGAAAACTGTGAAGCTTGCACTCGTGGCGCAATTCTCGAACCATCTGTGGAGCTATATTGTTCGACTTAGCTAAGTTTTGGTAGCAATACCAAGCGTTTGCTAGAGATGCTGTTTTTG